TTTAAACTGTTTAAAACTCCAGATTGTGGTGTTGACATTTTTTATTTTATAAATTGAATATTTGTGTTTATTTATATTTTACGAAATAAAACAATAAACCAATAAGATTATATAATATAATAATTTATTATTTTTTTTGTATTTTTTTACATTCTTCGAGAATCTCTTCCAAAAGCTTTTCTTCTCTATCATTATAATAAGCAGCATGATCACCAAGATAAAACAAACATCTTTGCATTTTTCTGATAATATAATCAGAATATCTTGGGTCAAATTTTTCTTGTTTTTTTCTTTCTTCTCTTCTTGTATAACATTCGTAGAGCAAATTGTCTATTTTTTGTTCGTAAGTTAATTCTTTGATTCCTAGTAGATCCATACAACGATCGATTTTGCTATGTTTCAATTTCATTTTTTTATATGAACTTTCAGTTTTGTCATTTTTTTTTTTATTCTTTAACATTTTTGTTTGAAAGGGTTTCTATGTTGTAAAATTATACAATTTATTAGTTTAAGTGGATAAATTTTTATTTAAATAATTTATTCTTCTATATTAAAAAACAGAAAAAAAACATACTCTTTTGCTTCTAAAGTTTGGTAGTTCTTTTCCAAATTCTTTACATAGTTCGACAAGTTCATTCATTTTTTGATCCAAAGTAGTGTCTTTATTAACTTCAGTACGCAACACGGTTAAGCATTGTTCCACTTGTTGTTCGACTTTTTTCAGTTTCTGAAGAAAAAATGATTAATTAATTTATCTTTATTGCTATTATTTATAAATTATATATTACTTGAAAAATGTTTTCTTGATCTTTAATTTGGTTTTGTAATGCATTGTTTTTTTGTTCTAATTTTGCGTTTTGATTTTCCAAATCTTTAACTTTTTGATTTAATTCGGTGTTTTGATTTTCCAAATTTTTATTTTTTTGATTTAAATCGGTGTTTTGATTTTCCAAATCTTTATTTTTTTGATTCAATTCGGCGATTTGATTTTCCAAATCTTTATTTTTTTGATTCAATTCGGCGATTTCTTTATTATTTGCTCTGTTGTTATTTAGCCATTCTAAGAGTTTTAGAAAATTACTCTGATAAAAACTTGGATTTATAATAACCCCAAAACCGTAAAGTTCTGAACTATTATCTATAGATGATGGAGAAATATGATAATAGGTTCCATTATAATATTTTGGCACACCGCAAATAGAAAGATTAATATTGGGATAATTTGCCATTTTGTTTTTTGTTTTTTTATTTTGTTCTTTTATTTTGTTTTTTATTAAATATTTAATATAAAAAATTAATTATAACAAATAAATTTTCATATAAATTCACACAAAAAACAATCTCATATAATCTTTATCTACTGAGAAAGTTCTTTTAATCAATCCATAAAAAAATAATTTTATACAATCTGCTTAGAAAGTTCTTTTAATCAATCTACAAAAAGCAATCTCATACAATTCTTATCTGCTGTGATTAATTTCTTTTAATCAATCCATAAAAGGCAATTTCATACAAATCTTATCTTTTGTGAGAAAGTTTTTTTAATCAATCTTATCTTCTGTGAGAAAGTTTTTTTAATCAATTCACAAAAGGTAATCTCATACAAATCTTATCTTTCTGCGACATTTTTTTTAATCACGCTATAAAAAAGCAATCTCTACAAATCTTATTCGAAAGTTCTTTATAGCGTATTTTTTTAATAAACAAATTAAACCATAAAAGGCAATCTCATACATCTTATCTGCGGCGTGAAGTTCTTTTAATCACACCACAAAAGGCAATATCAACTAGTACAAAGGAAAGTTCTTTAATCAATCCACAAA